CAACAAACCATTAAAAAAAATAATGTTAAACTTTTCCAAAGCCACCAATGGCCAGTCAAATCTTTATCACAGGCCCATCTCTCTGGTTCTCACTCTTCCATCTCCCTCCTTGAAAATAAGGACTCTTGCAATTACATTGGGCCCACTTGGATAATCCAGGATAATCTCCCCATCCCAAAGTCAGCTGACTGGCAATCCTAATTCTATCTACAATCTTATTCCCCCCCATCTTGCCATATAACATAATATATTCACCTGTTTCAGGGATTAGGACATGGACATCTTTGGGGAGCTATTTTCTGCCTACCACAGTCACGAAATCAGAATTTCTGTGAGTGAGACTCAGGAATCTATATTTTTAACAAGTTCCCGGGTGATTCCTATAAACATTCAGATCTGTGAATAAATGGTCTCATACATCTTCCCTCTTCTATCTCAATCTCCAAAACAACCAAATTGCTCCATTCAAGGTCACTGATTATTTTTCACTCATCTAACAATAGTTTATCAGTACCCACCAAGTGTTAGGAACTCCTTGAGATGCTAGGAATACAGATAAGACCCCTAACCCTCATGGAATATAACATCTAATAGCAATTACTTTATATTACTTCCTCTTCACCACTCAGTCTCTTCATGTTGGACAAATAAGGTAAAGGACTTGAATAGACATTTCTCCAAAGAAGATATCAAACTGAGGGTTTTAGAGGGGAGAGGGTGAAGAAAGAGGTGAGCCTGGTGATGGTATTATGGAGGGCAGGTATTTCATGGAGCACTTGGCGTTATATGCAAACAATAAATCATGGAACACTACATCAAAAACTAATGATGTACTGTATGGTGACTAACATAGTATAATAAAAAATATATAAAAAAAGAAGATATACAAATGGCCAATAAGCACACGAAAAGATGCTCAATCGTAACTAGCCATTAGGGAAATGCAAATCAAAACCACAGTGAGATACCACTTCACACCCAATCAGGATGGCTATTATCAACAAAATGGAAAATAACAAGCACTTGCAAGGATGTGGAGAAACTGGAAGCCTCCTGCATTGCTAATGGCAATATGAAATGATACAGCCACTGAGGAAAATAGTTTGGTGATTCCTCAAAAAATTAAACATAAAATTACCATATTGCCTAGCACTTCCAGTTCTAGGTATATACCCAAAAGAATTGGAAGCAAAGACTCAAACAGATAATTGCACACCAATGTTCATAGCAGAATTATTCACAATAGATAAATGGTGGTAATAATCCAGATGTCTATCAACAGATGAATGGATTTAAAAAATGTGGTATATCCATACAATGGAACATTACTTAGCCATAAAAAGGAATGAAATTCTGACATATGCTACCTACATGACTGAACTTGCTAAGTGAAAGAAGCCAGACACAAAAGGACAATACTGTAAGATTCCACTTAAAGGAGGTACCTAGAATAGGCAAATTTATAAAGACAGAAAATAGAACACAGGTTCCCAGGGGCTGTGGGGAGGAGAGTTTGGGGAGTTATTATTTAGTGGGTACAGAGTTTCAGTTTGGGATGATGCAAAAGTTCTGGAAATGGAAAGTCATGATGGATACACACATTGGGGATGTACTCAATGCCACTGAACCATAGGCTTGGAAATGGTTAAAATGGTAAATTTTATGTTATGTATATTTTGTCACAATTTTAAAACTTCAATTGTAAAAAACGAAAACAATTTTAAAATCTTCCCACAAAGAAAATGTCAAGCCTAGGTGACTTAATAGAGGAGTTCTATCAGACCTTTTTTTATATAATATTTTCAGTTTTATTTTTAAAAGGCACACATGACAGAGCGCCTGGGTGGCTCAGATGGTTAAGCGTCTGCCTTCGGCTCAGGTCATGATCCCCGGGTGCTGGGATCAAGTCCCGCATCAGGCTCCCTGCTCCTTGGGAGCCTGCTTCTTCCTCTGCCTCTCTCTCTCTCTCTCTGTCTCTCATGAATAAATAAATAAAATCTTTTAAAAAATAAAATAAAATAAAATAAAAGGCACACATGACAAAGAATATTACTAAGTCATGTCGTGACTCTACTTGCACTCAGCACTTGTTCTTGAGCATCTTTCTTTGCTTTTACGGTTTCAACAAGTTCCTTATATTATTTCAGGTACTCTTTTTCCATCCTACGAGGCACTGCTTCTGCTATTTATCCCCCATGTTTCAGGTGTATTTATTGGATAGGTTTTCAAAGCTTGTTGCAAAAGCTTCTGTTTCTCTGTTGTCCAAGAGGTGAAATGTGTGCAGACTTTCTAAAAGGTGTCATACTGTCAGCTTGAGGTATGACTCCTTGTAGTGCACCATCTTTTCTGATGCAGGTCATGACTTTGGAGACTCTTTTTTTGCCAACTCCATAAAAAGAATATGTGTTCATGTAGTCAGCAACAGCTTCCTGTGATACTGTGATTTATAAGAAATATATATATTTGGTCATTCCAATGGCCAAAACACATTTCTCATATATATTTGGTCTTTATCCATAGTTCCTGGCTCACAGCTCCCCAAAACCTTGCAGTTTCCCAAATTATAAGAACAGTGGGAGTATCTTTTGTTACAAGATTCAGTCTCTTGTCTTCAGTTCTTGAAATTGCTTTCGAGCCATAAAGGTGAAATGGGTGTCTTGTTATTCATAACAAGCCCCTTTCCACCACAACTGGGTTTACATTATGAGGTGACTTCTGGAAGCACCTAAGGGTGGGGGCTGGTTGCCAGGGGAACCAACCAGGAATGTCCTACCCTCTGATTCTGGGAAGGGGGTGCCTAAAGTTTGAATCAACCACCAATGGCCAAGGAGTTGATCAATCATGCCTATGAAATATAATGAAACTTCCATAAAAACCCAGAAAGACAGGGGCTGGAGAACTTCCGGGTTGGTGAACACAAGGAGATCCAGGGAGAGTGGTGCACTCTGAGAGGGCATGCAAGCTCTGTGCCTTTTCCCCATGCCTTGCCCTATAGGTATCTCTTCCATCTGTCTGTTGCTGAGTTATGTTCTTGTATAATAAACCAGTAATCTAGTAATTGAGTAAAATGCTTCTCTGAGTTCTGTGAACCACTCTAGCAAATTACTGGAACTCAAGGTCTGGGGGTGTCGTTGGAACCTCTGATCTACAGCCAGTCAGTCAAAAGCACGTGTGACAACCTGGACTTACTACCGGCATCTGAAGCCCCACTGTGGGATTTAACCTGTGGGATGTGATGCTATCTCCAGGTAGATATGTCAAAATTGAGTTAAACTGTAGGACACTCAGTGTCCAAGAATCACTCGTTGGTGTGGGGAACCGCCCTCTCCCCCACACACACACACTAGAACTGGGTCCACAACCCTTACTTCCCATCTTGAATTTGTTCCAGCAAGGAAATTCACAGCTTTGATTAGTAATTGCAGGTCAATTCTCTTCTGACCAGTTTTTACTGCCATTTCCACCTTTGGTAGTTGATGTCTCTCCATTCTTAGATGCTTGTCACATACAAGCCTCAGCTTCTCTCTCTTTTCTATGTTACTCATTTGTTTCTTTTTTTATTATTATTAATTTTATTATGTTAGTCACCATACATTACATCATTAGTTTTTGACGTAGTGTTCCATGATTCACTGTTTGTGTATAACACCCAGTGCTCCATGCAATATGTGTCTTCTATCTGTTTTACCAGAGCAGGCATTCCTACTTCTTTTGTAGATGCTGATGCATTTCATGTAAGTACCTAAGCTTGCTAGTTGGAACGTATCTGAAAGTTTTTCCACTTCTTCCTTCCAACCTGCCCTGTCTCATTCTCAGAAAAGCAATTCCAGGGGTGCCTGGGTGGCTCAGATGGTTAAGCATCTGCCTTCAGCTCAGGTCATGATCCCAGGGTCCTGGGATTGAGCCCTGCATTGGGCTCCTGGCTCAGTGGGGAGCCTGCTTCTCCCTCTCCCTCTGCCTCTCCCCCTGCTCATGCTATCTCTCTCTCTCTGTATCTCTATGTCTTAAATTAGTAAGTAAAATCTTTTAAAAAAGAAAAAAGAAAAGCAATTCCAGGTCTCCCATGAATTTTGAAGTTTTTGCCTTTCCCTTCTAATGGCTTTTTTTTTTTTCTGGGTATCTTTTCCTTCCTTGACAATAATGCCTATTGACTGACCTCCACTCCCTTCTCCTTAGCAACCCAAGCAGCTTCGGAGTCAGCTAATCTTTATTTTTCTTTAGCTTCTGGCATCTTCTGTTTTCCTTCTGCACTCACTTTCTTCTCTGTTTCTTTCTTGGCTTTTTCTTTTTAGAATGTGTTTATCCTTGCATCACAACTACATGCATTATCAATTAACGTTCTCAGTCACCTCAGTTCTTTTTTTCTTGGAGCCCTGTTGCTCTGTCCTGTTTTTCAATCCATCTCCTGTCATCATGACATCCTGCTTCTTCATTTAAATACGAAGATTCTCTCCAGGAGTAAAAAATATACCAGAAGGAATAAAATGTCTCTACATCTTCAAACGGTGACTTCATATCACCAAGTTTAGGAGCCTTTTTATTATTTAATGATCTAGAATTCCTTTCAAGCCCTAGGGAAAACACTCTGAAGAAACTGTCCTTTGCTTTACTTTTAGAAGGAACAGACTTATGAAAAGTAAGCTGCATCTCTTAGATTCTCTTATTTTCACTGGATCAGACATTTCATAAGGTTTCATTATGCCAGTAGTTATGAAGTAGCCATGATCTTCTTTTATTGGGTCACCAGCTTCTTTCAGGGCTGTTTTAACACCACTGCTTTATGAGCAGTTTTGGTCCGTCTCTGTAACTCCATGTTGTACATGGCCAAGTCCAAGAACCCCATAATGAGCCTGGTTCTTCCAGTCTTTGGGATCAAGTATTTTCAGCATGAGAAACTGTCCTAATGATGCAGGCATGCCAGGTCTGAGGCCAGAGATGGGGTCCCACAGGACCAGCCAAGAGGGTCCTTGGCTTCACCCAGGATGGAAATCAAACGTGAGTCAGCAGAAGGTGAGAGCAGAGTTTATTGACGATGTAGAGAGAGCAGATACAGACTCAGAAAGGATAGGAGCATGAGTCATCTTTGCTTGGGGTCTGGAGTTTTTATTGGCAATCGTGGTCTGGTGCACGTGTCCTCCTAGGCATATAGGAACTGGGCAGAACAGGACAGGGTCCAGGTGTCCTTCATAAGTCCTCATTCCCTGAAGCCAGGGGTCTTGGCATTAAGATGTCTAGGGCCAATGGTCTGGAATAGGCACACGATGGCTCTGCCTGGTCATTCCTTAGATATCATCTACTGTGCTGGAAGACTTCAAAGATATCATTATCTCTTTGTCCCTTACAAGGAGAACATAAGCAATTTGCATTACAAGGCATGTGTAAAGTGGGGTGAGGGTGCAGGTCCTAGCAAGAACAGAAGCCAGAAAAGAAGCAAAGGAAAGGGAAAAACAGCTTTTTCTCTCATGGGGGTCCCTTGGGTTTCCTCATCTCAGTAACTGTAATTCTTCATCTTCTATTCCCTCTCACCACTCTTTTTTATCCTCTGTTTCCAGAGGTCAGAGCATGGTAAAGCCCAATAAATACAGTGCTTCACATCCCAGTTGGAGGGCACTGAGCATCCTTTCTGGCTCTCCCTTCCAGTTCCAGCCTGGTGCCTTGGCTCCCTAAAGCCCAGGGAGCAGCACATGAGGACCGCCAATAACCACTTCCGGATGCAGCCTTCCTGCTGTGGTCATTTCCTGAAGACTTTCAAAAAACAGATCCTTTTAATTTTCTGCAAACTTTTCCAGAGAATAGAAGAGGGGGGAATACTACCTTCCCCTCCTCCTCCACTGAGGCTGAGCCCTTAGTGCCAAAAACACTGACAAGGACAGTATGAGAAAGGAAATTTACAGGCTCTCTATCTCTCATGAATATAGTTGCAAAAACTCCTAAACAAAATTGTAGCAACCCGAATTTTAGAGTGTTTTAAAAAAAAATTTTTTTTTAATTTAGACCATGGAACAGCTCGGTGGCTCAGTCAGTTAAACGTCTGCCTTTGGCTCAGATCCTGATCCCAGGGTCCTGGGATCGAGTCCCACATCAGGCTCCTTGCTCAGCGGGGAGTCTGCTTCTCCCTCTGCCTCTGCTGCTCCCCCTGCTTATGCATGCGTGCTCTCCAACAAATAAATAAATAAAATCTTAAAAAAAAAATTTACACCATGACCCAGAAAGTTTCATTTTAGAAAACCTAAAACTGTCATCTATTACACTAACAGACTGAGAAAAATCTAATAAGCATCTCAATAAATATGTGCAGAAAAACATTTTTTAAAGCCCATTCATAGCTTTAAAAAATATGTCCTAGTACTAAGACTAGGAGCAGAACTTCCTTAATCTGATCAAAGATGTATTTAAAACCTATGAATACATCAAAATGGGGAAATGTTAGAAATGTTAGAAACATTCTGTTCCAAAAGATCAAAACCAGATGCCAACGATCACCTTGACTATTTAAGAATGCATGTCAGTCCTAGCCAATGCAAAAAGTCAAGAAAATGAAATTAACAGGGGCTGCAGTGAAAGGTGGGGACCAGGGAATATGAGACAGCAAGAGGTGTCCACTACAGGCAGCCATGGAGAAGATGAGAACTAAATTTTACACTAAAGGATCCTGCACTAAATATTAAGGGAAGCCAATAATTTTAATGAGTCTCTATATTCTCATGCTATTCTTTACAATGTTTTTAACATGTTTTGTGAATGAACAAAGTAAAAAAAGGGGGGGGCAGATGGTGAAAATAAGAATATTTCTACAAACCTGAATTTTCTTTAATACGAGCAGTGTTTCCTGATCCCATACGTGGACGGTTCCTCCATCAGTAATACACGCTTTACATGCCGTCACCATTTGATTTGTTACCTAAAATAAATACAAGTCCAAAATAGCTATATGTGAAGAGAGAAATAAAATTTAAGATTTTTATTTATTTATTTTTAAAGATTTTATTTATTTATTTGACAGAGAGACAGAGAGCACGAGAGCGGGAACACAAGCAGGGGGAGTGGAAGAGGGAGAAGCAGGCTTCCTGTCGAGCAGGGAGCCCGATATGGGACTCGATCCCAGAACCCTGGGATCATGACCTGAGCCGAAGGCAGACGCTTAAAGACTGAGCCACCCAGGCACCCAAAATTTAAGATTTTTAAACCAGAAGCATAAAAATATGATAAACAGTAAACTTATGGGAGGAATGAATCACAATATAAAAAACAAAGAAATACACATTCCATCAAAACCAAAACAACCCAAATTTTTTACTGCATTTAAGTCAACGTCACAGGGGCCATAAATTCCAAAGTCAACTATATTTTCCTTTAGTCTATTTTTCCTATAACTAGGATCCAAATGTCATTCTTCACCATCCTTCAACATGCAAACTAAATTTAAAGTTAACCACCTCACACATACCCCAAAATAGCGAGGGGGGGGATACTCAGGAGGTTAGATTGACAGGGCAGGCTGACACACAGAAATTTTGGAGAATTCCTAATATAGAAAGCACACAGGATCAAATCTACAAGAGGAAAAAAATAAAAATAAAGATGACAGAAAACCAGAACCCCTTCTGGAGAAGGTTACTGTGAAGGTGGAAATCTTTGAGGTGGAGACAATGGGAGGTGGCCCTTGGTTGTGACCCTACACACTGAATTTGGAGCAACTTGTACAGTGGGCAACAATGGCATATGCTGACAGGACAGAGCCATGAGTGTGAACTATACCCCAGGTAGCTATTGCACCCCAGGAGGACATGTTAGAGAAAAAGCTCTTCACATTCCCTACCCCCCACACCCCCCCAGACCCCCCCACACAAGAGACAGACCAAAAGAAACAGAACAAGCAGGCAAATTAGGACTTAAATACAAAGATGGGCAGACAACCCAGAATCACCAAACAACTAAAGAAAATAAACATGGGGGGGGTGCCTGGGTGGCTCAGTTGGTTAAGCATCAGACTCTTGATTTCAGGTCAGGTCATGATCTCAGAGTTGTGAGATTGAGCCCCACAGGCTCTGTGCTCAGTGGGGAGTTGGCTTGAGGATTCTCTCTCTCCTTCTCCCTCTGCCCCTTCCCCCACTCGTACTTTTGCACACTCTCTCTTTCTCTAAATATAAATAAATATATCTTTAAAAAATAAAAAGAAAAGAAACATGGTAACAGAGGCTTTAAACTCAACAGAGGAAATACAAAAAAAGATATGTAAAATATTATAAGATATCTTTTATTAACTACATGAGAAAGATATGAGAGTATTTTACATCACAAAAAAAACAACTAGAGAACTTGGAAATTAAAATTTTTATTATCAAAATAAAAAAATTCTATTGATGAACTGACTAACAACTGGGACATAAACAAAGAGCAAAAGAGTGAGCCGAAAGGTCAAAGGACAGAAATTGACAAAACAAAACAAAACATAAAACATTAAGAGAAATGGAAGTTAAATTCAAGGGGACAGAATAAATTAAACAGGTAGGTAAGGAATACTCCAAGGCAAAAGAGGGAAATTTCCCAGGAATAGAGACAAAGGTTTCTGGATTGCAACAATCCAACAAGTATAGAACAACATAAATGTAAAAAGGACCACATCACTTTGAAATTTTATGAGTTCAAGGATAAAGAAAAAAATCCTAAAAGCTTCTTGAAAGAATAAGACAGGTTGCCTACAAAGGAAAAAGAATCATATTAGCATAAATTTCTCATCAACAGTACTGGATAAGAAACAACAATACTTCAAGTTTCCAGGAGAAAATTATGTTGAACCTGGAATCCCACTGAAACTAACATTTGAGTAGCAGGACAAAATGAAACTATTTTCAGACATGCAGGAATTCAGGAGGTTCACCACATACAGACCATCTCTGAAAGAACCACTTGAGAATACTTTTCAGCCAAAGAAATAATGAATCCAAGATGGAGGAAGATGTAGAAATCACAAGAGGGAGGTGATCAAAGAAACTAGCAATGCTTAGATTTTATTCTGAACACATGGGGATTCATAATGTTAACAAACTATTAGACAAAATAGTTTAAAATTATTAACAAAAATATAGAACAAGAAATCTCAGCATGGGACATATATAGCAAGAAAGAGACAAGTGATGGGGAAAAATCCTAACATTCTTCCCCTGTTTAAGAGATGGATAATGATTAAATCTATTGATTCGTTTTTTAAAAAGAGAGTTGAGATGTGACTGTTACTTTATATATTTATGTTCTGCTTGAATCACAAAGAAATTTTATTTATGTGTCTCTTGGATGTTTTTTCAAATTATTTAAGTAATGAACCATATGTCACAACAGTGCTGGTGGAAGTAGCTAAAGAAGTGTTGTCAATCATGCACACAATTCCTAGCTCTTGAGCAAAACTATTTGGAATGAATAAATTAGAAAAGCACCAGCCATGATCTCCAGGTCGTGAGATCGAGCTCCATGTCGGGCTCCACGCTCAGTGTGGAGCCTGCTTAGGATTCTCTCTCTCCCTCTGCCCCTTCCCACCACTTCTTTCTCTCAAAGGAAGGAAGAAGGAAGGAAGGAAAGAAAGAAAGAAAAGAAAGAAAGAAAAGCACCAGCTACATTTAAATAAAAAGCCTGAGGGTTTACCTCTGAGAAGAAGGTACACCTTCAATTAAGTAGAACTGACCAGTCAACACCTTTCTTTTCTTGTCCACTGTTCTGTCAAATCCAGAATTCTGAGAGGCACCCAAACTTCCCATTTCCCTTCCCTGGCCCAGAGGGAAAGTACTGTTAACTTTTCACAGGGTTACATGTATGATTTCTTCCCTTGGAAACTTACCTTGATGAACAATGAAGTCATTCTCTCTGAGGTGTTATAATACCGTGACACACTGTGAATCATTCTGATGGCATTAATCAAATTTTGTATTCCATGTGCCATGGAAACCTAAAATTGAAATATATTAAGTGAATTGCATGATATATTTATAGTTTTAATAACCAATATCCTATAATATTCAAAATTCTAACCACATATAAAATAGTGTAACATTTTTATCTTAAAGTCAAATTTTACTAAATGCAATGTAGCATCCCAGACTGATTCTTGGAACCGAAAAAGGACATCAGTTTTGACAAATGTACCAAGGTAATGCAAGATGTTAACAGGAGAAACTGGGTGAAGAGAATTCTGTACTATAACTTTTCTGTACATCTAAATTTAAAAGTTTATTTAAAAATACAATTTTAGAGGTGAAAGTAATTTTAAGGATTAATAGTTCAAGATTATCCTTTTATAAAGATTTTATTTATTTATTTGAGATAGAGAGAGCAAGAGAGAGAGAGAAAAAACACGAGTGGGGAGGGGCAGAGGGAGAAGGAGAAGCAGGCAAGGAAAATAGAGAGGTAGGGAAGTTAAGCTCCTTGTCCAAGTTCCTACAGCTGTATTACATAACCACAGTTATGTGCCTGAGATTTTGAGATCCTGCTTTTAACTATGATGCAAATCAGGATGGGAAAACAGGTAAGGTCAATGGCATTCCTACAAGGAGGCTAAGACAATATAAAATATATAAGAGATGTTTTAATGGCGATAAAATAAATAAAACCAGAAATAACAACTATTTCTTTAAAGATTTATTTATTTGATGCAGAGAGAGAGAGCAGGCAGAGGGAGAGGGAGAAGCAGGCTTTCTCCCAAGCAGGGAGCCCAATGCCGGGCAAGATCCCAGCACGCCGGGATCATGACCTGAGCCAAAGACAGACACTTAACTGACTGAGCCACCCAGGTGCCCCAGAAATAACTATTGATTAGTGTACTATATGTCCTAGGTATGAGGTGTAACTATGATATAATTAAATCAATGATATGTGGCTTATGGAAATTAATATCATTACTTTGCAAGTAACCTGGGATGTCAGAATTCATATTATATGTGTTATCTGTATATCAAAAAGAGTCTAATAAAAATAAGCCAAGGAGGGGTCTCTTCCACTCTCAATAAGGCAAGTCTACAAAGTACCCATAACTCCAATGAAGAAGGCTCAGAGATGGCATCAAATGGGTCCATCAGGAAAATACCCTTCATCTAAATTTTTTTTAAGATTTTACTTATTTATTTGACAGAGAGAGACACAGCAAGAGAGGGAACACATGCAGGGGGAGTGGAAGAGGGAGAAGCAGACTTCCCGCTGACCAGGGAGTCCGATGCGGGGCTCGATCCCAGGACCCTGGGATCATGACCTGAGCCAAAGACAGACATTTAACGATTGAACCAACCAGGTGCCCCACCCTTCATCTAAATTTTAAACATCATTTATAAAAGAAGATTCTTGAGCATACAGTTCTTACCTATCTATACACAGTGTTGAGACACTTTATATGTAAAACATATAATGATAGATATGCCAATAGCAGAAATTGCAACACCAAGATAATAAAATGAAACACTAAACATAAAATTCATAAAACTTATCCACAAAAAAATGGAAGAATGAGTCCTCTGCACTTTTCCTGTTCAAATGTGAGTTACAAATTAAACAGCAGGGGCTGTTTGCTTTTAATGAGAAAAAGAAAATGAGGATAAATGGAATTTTTGAAACCTCAAAAATAGTGAGTATATGAGGGGGAAGCAATTATATGACAATACTATTAGAACTTCTTTAATTTCAAAGATAATGTTCAAAATATTCCTGCATCAGAGAATGTGAAAAGTTTAATAACAACAAAATAATAATAAGGTATATCTATGCTAGAACAATTGAATAAATTTTTTCAAATTACCAGGATGAAAAGAACATCAGAACTAAAATACTTGAAAATTATATAAATTTAAACAAGTCTTTTGAAGAAAGAACTTGAAATTAGTACACCTAAAAATCTAGAGGTCTTGATCACAATAAAAAGCATTGTATCTTTCTTCCAAGTTTACTTTTTATAATGAAAAGCTTTAAATATATAGGAAAGTACAGAGAATAGTATAATGATCACTTGACAAATGTTAACATTTTGGTATATATGCCTCATCTATTATTTTTTCACATCAAGACCTACTTGCAGGTCACCCTAGAGTAGGCTTTGGATATATGTGTATTTAAGATTTGCATCTTCAGTTCTTGTGAACTGAACTAACCCCATATGCATGTGACATGTGAAAATTCTGATTTTTCTTAGACACAAATTTTAATTGCACATGCTGTAAAGCTGGGAAATCAAGTCACTGGGCTACTGAGTGAGCTAAGCAATGGCTATATTCCTCTATCACCATACATTCTGATTTGCTTTACTCATGATCATATACACACAAACACCTAAAAAATGATATAAAATATTTTTATGTAAAACAAATTTTAAAAGGTCCCTAACAGAAGTCTAGTTGCTAGTACTAGGGGTGTAAATAAGTTGTAAGTAAAATCCATCATCTCTTTATGGAACCAATTAAAAGACTGCTCCTGTGTGCAATCAAAAATGGAGGCTCTAACTGCTAGGATAAATGAGGTGGAAGAGAGAATTACTAATAAAGAAGACCAAATGATGGAAAATAAAGAAGCTGAGAAACAGAGATAAATAACTACTGGATCACCAGGGCAGAATTCGAGAGATAAGTGATACCATAAGACAAAACAATATCAGAATAATTGGGATCCCAGAAGAAGAAGAAAGAGAGAGAG